ATTCAATATTTTAATTTGAATGTCGGATTGAAATGAATGCTGTTATTAGAGTAGTTAATCGTTAGCATAAGCGCGGCTAACGCTAATATAATGAGCATTAGAATGAAGTTTCTTTATTAACTATTTAATGCTCCTATTACTTTTATTAGGGTAAAACACAGGAGGACATGATGATATTTACTATTTTTACACACCAGAGGCTTTTAAATGAATTGTGAATCTAAAATATGCGTGTTAGAGAATGTACAAATGGTTAACATTGTTTGTGTCATATCAGTCAGAAAAGCAGTTCTGTGCTTTTTTTTTTTTTTTAGCTAACTTAGTTGTTATTCTTGGCTGAATAACTCTAGAAGGTTTTAAAAACCCTTTACAATTAAATATTTACACAGTTTGGATTAAATGAAAGTATAGTCACATTTTTTAATTAGCATGTTTTTGTGTTTTGGTTTGGTACCGAAATTGGTACCAAGAACCGTGGATTTTTACTGGTATTGGTACAGAATACTGACATTTTGATACCGTGACAACACTAATATGAAGTGTTTTAGATGCCACTCTCCTTGAAGCATTTGGTCTCACCTTCAAGTCTCTGCACTGAGACTGGAGCCAGTCGTTGATGAAGCCCTGCGGGTCTCTTGCGAAGCTCAACATGAACTCCCTTTGAGTCTTCAGATGGTTAATGGTTTCGATGGTCTCATGGATCTGAGGGATCAAGCAAGCATACATGCGGGATCATGATTACCATTATACAACATTTTAATAACACAACAGTTCGTTCTGGTTCACTAGGTTGTATGTGTACTCAATATAAAGTTCTTTATCGAACTTTTGTATAAGAGCAATCACAATCAATCTTGGTTAACATCGTGCAGGTTTTACTGTAGTCTGATATTTCATAAACACAAAATGGCACTAAATACAAAGGTCAACCACTGACTGTGAAGGACAGATTTTGACTGTTGCAAACTGGGTCAAAGGGGAATGGTCTTAAGTGCGTTAAAGTTCACAGCATGTTTTAGTCAAATATAATAAGAAATTAAAAATGCTTACAAGTTCATAAACACTAGCGATTGTCCAATATTTCCAATGCCAATATTTTAAAGAGCCTGGATGTTACTATGCAGATATAATATAATATAACATGCAATGTCAGCAAATGAATCACAAATCCACTTTTGGTTGAATGTGGTGCCATATAAACTTTTATAGAGGAATCCAAAGGAACTGAACTTTAACCCACAGCTGATTTGTCTTAGCAATTCCATCAATTCACAATCACTCGAGCTGAAAACCATTATTACATCAAGCACGGAGTAACTGTGGCAACAATGTAACCATGGTGAGTCCGGCTGCTATCCCTGAAGTGGTTACTAGACTACTCAAGATTTTCAGCAAACAGAGAGGAATAAAATTAAACATGTCCAGAGCTGACAGAAAGCAGGATGCTTTTTCCTGGACCACTCCCTGGCTTCTTTCCGCAGCAAAACCTTTCGAAAACATTCAGACTGGCGTGTTGCCAAGAGTCACTTTGATATGCAGCAGACAAGCCCAGGATATACAACAAAACAACAGTGCAAAGGCAACGATGGCGCTCCCCCTGCAGTGATGTGCTGAGCACTTTGAGGACTGTTTATTCAGCCAGAACAAAGAGGTTTTGGAGGCTTTCGGCCACATGCAAAACTTTTGTACCTTGTTGTCAAGGCCTGCGATCTCTTGCTGACTGGCCGTGGACAGCAGGAAAGAGTTCATCTGGGTCTTCAGGGTGTCGTCCACCTCCACGTCTATATCGTAGCATGCCGTCTTCTTCTGGTCGTTGGGATCCACGCTGAAATACAAAAGGATGTTTAGATGTTGCATCACAGACAAGGCAGAAACAGCAATTCTGATTGACATCATGTGGTTGACGGTTACCTTATGACATGGTTGATGATGATTGGCTCGGGAGGCATCAGTAGTGCATGCAGCCGTTGAGGAATCTCAGAAAACTTCATCCTCTGGCTTTCAAAGATCTAGAACAATGAGAACCAACAGTTATTGGATCAGAAAGATCTTGAATGAGAACAGACAATTACTGGGTTTCAAAGATCTTGAACGAGGAGAACTGACAATTATAGGGTTTTAAAGATCTTGAATCAGAACCGATAATTATTGTGTTTCAAATATCTAGAGCAAAAGGAACGGGTAATTGGGTAATCTTATCTTTAAAAAAAATATTAATAAGTACAGTCAGTTTTTGTGGCAACTATTGGGTTTCAAAAATCTTGACCAAGGAGAACTGACAATTATTGGGTTTCCAAGATCTTGAACGAGGAGAACCATCAATTATTGGGTTTTAATAGATTTAGAACAAGAAATAATAGATCTAGAACAAGTAAAAACAGCAATTTATTTTATGCAAATTATAAGAGAAATACACAAATCATGGGCCTCATTCATGAAACACGAGCAGAATAAATGTTTGTGTAAATCGTTCCCTTTCGAAAACATTCAGACTGGCGTGTTGCCAAGAGTCACTTTGATATGCAGCAGACAAGCCCAGGATATACAACAAAACAACAGTGCAAAGGCAACGATGGCGCTCCCCCTGCAGTGATGTGCTGAGCACTTTGAGGACTGTTTATTCAGCCAGAACAAAGAGGTTTTGGAGGCTTTCGGCCACATGCAAAACTTTTGTACCTTGTTGTCAAGGCCTGCGATCTCTTGCTGACTGGCCGTGGACAGCAGGAAAGAGTTCATCTGGGTCTTCAGGGTGTCGTCCACCTCCACGTCTATATCGTAGCATGCCGTCTTCTTCTGGTCGTTGGGATCCACGCTGAAATACAAAAGGATGTTTAGATGTTGCATCACAGACAAGGCAGAAACAGCAATTCTGATTGACATCATGTGGTTGACGGTTACCTTATGACATGGTTGATGATGATTGGCTCGGGAGGCATCAGTAGTGCATGCAGCCGTTGAGGAATCTCAGAAAACTTCATCCTCTGGCTTTCAAAGATCTAGAACAATGAGAACCAACAGTTATTGGATCAGAAAGATCTTGAATGAGAACAGACAATTACTGGGTTTCAAAGATCTTGAACGAGGAGAACTGACAATTATAGGGTTTTAAAGATCTTGAATCAGAACCGATAATTATTGTGTTTCAAATATCTAGAGCAAAAGGAACGGGTAATTGGGTAATCTTATCTTTAAAAAAAAAATTAATAAGTACAGTCAGTTTTTGTGGCAACTATTGGGTTTCAAAAATCTTGACCAAGGAGAACCATCAATTATTGGGTTTTAATAGATTTAGAACAAGAAATAATAGATCTAGAACAAGTAAAAACAGCAATTTATTTTATGCAAATTATAAGAGAAATACACAAATCATGGGCCTCATTCATGAAACACGAGCAGAATAAATGTTTGTGTAAATCGTTCATAAAGCTGTTCTTTTACGTAAAAAAACGTAAATTTTCAGATTCATGAAAGTGTTCGTATTTTCAAAATGTTAGTTGGTACCAAAGAAATTTACACCTGCTCCCTGCCATGTGTAAATGGTGCTTAAGCCGTCCAATCAGTGGACAAGAGGCGGGACAAATAATACACCGACCAATCATCCTACTTGAACAACAATAGAGAAGTTAACATTGCTGGTTACTGCATTTTTATATTTAGTAATATTCTTCAAAATGTACTGCCATGGATATTCCACATCATAGCAACCAAATCGACAGCTGGTCGTTTTAAGAAGAGCGCCTGACATTTTTCAGCAGGCTAAAAACGCTTTGGTGGACACACGTTATTGAATATTTATTGTTAGGCATATGGCCTATTAGTCTTTTTTGTATTTATGCAATATACTGGAGCCAAACCTGAGAAAGTAGACCAGAATATTCCACTGCGTTCCTGGACACGCAATTTGCGTAGCTGTAATTATAGGCGGGGATTATGGTAATTGTGAATGAGCGTGAATCAAATCGGAAGTTTACAAAGTGTTTGTGAATCTGGAGGAGAGTTTTCGGGAAGGTCCGTTTTACGCGCAGATTACTCAGAATTTACTCCTATATTTACGAATGTTTCATGAATGAGGTCCATTGTGTTCTTGTTAGCAATGGTTACCTCCAAAGAAACACATGCAGCCATCATCGCTTTGCATCCTTTGGGTCCAATTTGGACATTTTCACTTAGGGGTGTACTCTCTTTTGTGGCCAGCGGTTTAGACATTAATGGCTGTGTTTTGAGTTATTTTGGGGGGACAGGAAATTTACACTGTTATACAAGCTGTACACTCACTACTGTACATTGTAGCAAAGTGTCATTTCTTCAGTGTTGTCACATGAAAAGATATAATAAAATATTTACAAAAATGTGAGGGGTGTACTCACTTCTGAGATACTTTATATATACTGTTTTTTGTTTTGTTTTCCAAAGCACCTAAAAGCCAATTCATACCGCCATACTCCAACAGGGTAAACACAGTCCAAACAAAACAAAATAAGCATGTTTTTGTGGCAGTGTGAACTGACCATAATGCTGTATGTTAGGTGTGAGATTCATTAAACTTGGTTTGCTATAATACATCTATTCATAAGTGCACCAGTGTGAATCACAATTCCCTTCACATTTGCTGTATATCCATAAAGTGATATCTTTGTCATAGTATTCTTTTAGTGGTTAGCTAACTGATTAAGACAGTCTCTGGCTGCCCGCCTACTGGCATAATAATGTAACCTGCAATGAAAGAAGCCCAGGCATGATATTGCTTTTAATTCATCATTTTTGTTGGTTCATGCTGAACTGGTGTTGATAAATGTACTCTTTAATATTAATAAGTCAATTCAATTGGTATTGTCACTGTTTTTAAGTTGCATTGTCTGAAGATTTTTACATTTTTTCAGTGTCCAATTTCTGTTTGATTTATTATGAAGGGGCAAATTATAATCTATATAAAATGAAAACATATATGTAGATTTAATTTATTTACATACAGTTTGAGTAAACGGGAATATATTCTGTGAAAACATGTTTAAGTTTATTTACTTGAATGTTTTAAAATATATTTACATTTATAGGAATCTAATATATTTACATATACATAAATGTAATATGTTAACAAATATTAGAAATTAATATATGGACATATATTGCAAATTAATATATTTACATATACATAAATGTAATATGTTAACAAATATTAGAAATTAATATATGGACATATATTGCAAATTAATATATTTACATATACATAAATGTAATATGTTAACAAATATTAGAAATTAATATATGGACATATATTGCAAATTAATATATTTACATAGTATGATATCTAAATGTATTTACATATAAAGGAAATAAATATATATAAATATTTCCGATAAAAATATATTTACATATGTTTAATATATGTGAAAAATATTAAAAAGCGGCCAAAATCAAATATTTAAATATATATTTTAAAATATATTTCAAAATATATTTACATATATCGTATAAAATATATTTTCTTCTATTTAAATTTAAGATATTTAAATATATGACAACCCTCTACGCACACCTTGGCAATATAATCGCCATTGGCTAGTACATTTTTTTGTTTCCTCGCCAGACTGATATACTATTTTACACACACACACACACACACACACACACACACCCACACGTTTACTTTGATCCATTGAGCGCATCCAAATAGTACAGATCGCTTGACGGAGAGTGAAACTCTCAAGCGCTCAGTCAGCGTGTTTATCGAGTGAAAATCTGTGTTGAACGCCTCTCACACACATACTGGTGTGTAAAATCTAAGAATTTATTAGCCAATGGCTAATGTTAGTCATTATTTAGTCGCCCAGAGTAAGATTTAGTCGCATATGCGAGTGATTTACTCGCAATGTAGAGGGTTGTATGAAAATGTATTTATTATTAATATATTTCAATCTATGTGACTTCTGTATGGGGTATTTCTATAGGCCTACTAAATTGTTAATGGTTGAAAAAGAGCTAAGTGCTAAAGTGAATATAGTTCAAACTAGATCAGTTCTCTGAGACATTTTAATATATTCATTTCTTAAAGAGATGCTGTGTCCATGGTATTGCCCAGGAATATCATGTCATATATAATATAATAACAAAATATGAGATTCCAGCTGATATCATTTTCTGTCTATTGAAAACGACCATAAATTACATAATGATCCTCAAAAATATTAGTGTCAAATCTATAATCCTGTTATTTTACTAGATAATTTCATTGTGCAAATCCTATATTATGATTTCACATGAGATGTAAATATAACACTAAGCCCACTCTTAGAACAACAATTAAAAGCGCACAAAAAAAGTATTTATGAATTGTAATATGCATGTACATGTATTATAATTTATATTATTACAATATTAAAATCACATATTTAACTGTATATTGACGGTATGCGTATGCGTGATGTCATTTTTTCCTCAGTTCGCGCCCTTTCGTTGGTTTGCGCTCTAAGCTTCAATCAGCTCCGTCAAAATGTAAGCTATTTATTTAGTTATTTACATCGATAACATATTTAAGTAAAAGTATCCTCATGATATGTAGACATGATATGAGATTATTAATGCGAGTTACGTCGAAATTGTTTCGGGTTCGTATGACTAATCTCTAGTAGCCTAATAAACTGCTTACAGATGTTATGAACAAAATTTGAGGACATTTATGTAAAATACATAATATTATTCACAGCTGATGTTCCATCAGTGTTTTCCCTCAGAATCACCGTATTGTCATTATTTTCAGCAGTTAATGCTTGTTGCTGGCCTGGCTTTTCATATTCACGTATTGAATGTAAGTGAGTAGTACATTACGTAAGTTTTACATAGTTTTAATAAGATTTGTATTGTCTTTTTGCTGGAGAAAACCACATGAGGTCTCTTCACCGATTCATCTAACTCAGGGGTTTTCAAAGTCTAAGACCCTTTTGACACAACATGTTTCTCATATTTTTGACTTATTATTTTTTAGTATCGTTTAAATAAAAACATTTAAATATAATAAAAAATACATATAATAATTTAACTCAATTTTATTTTTAATTTATTATAATTTCCCCGCGCCTCCCCTGACATGCTCTGGCGCCCCCCTGGGGAGGCGCGCCCCACACTTTGAAAACCCCTGATCTAACTGATCGAATAACTTCCCTCTAATACTGTAACCTGAACACCAACATATGCTAGTGATGATGCAAGTACTGCAGGTAAGACATACAAACAAAATGGAGCTTGTTTACTGTTACTTGTTGCATATATTTTGACATGTTAAGATTTTTGCTGCCAAAGCCAATGAGTTCTTAGCTTTTCTCATTCTTATTGCCAATATTATCACACTGTCCTCCTGCACAAAAAGATTATTGATGAACCTAGTGGGCAACTGATGACACATAGACACATGCCAGAATTTCTAAATATGATGGATGCATGCAAAACTGGCATGAAAGCAAATTAAGGTCTCTCCAGTCGACCCGGTTAAAAAGCGCCAGTCTCTGGAGTTCTTATTAATCCTCTCAAAGAGCACGATGACACTCTTATCAGTGACAAACGGCTGCAGCTTCTAATTGTGCCACGAGATCTGACAGGATAAATTGGCACAAGGGCAGAAACTCTTGACAGTTGCATTATGGAAAATGAATAGTAACTCATTTTCAATGAGCGAGTACCAGAGTGATGAACTCAAAGAGGCTTGTAGGGTAGTTCCATTTTCACACTTTCAGATGATCTGAAAAATTAAGTGACACCGCTAATGTTATAATACGTTATAGGAAGGTAGCACCTATTAGGTGACAAGGACGTTAACGTCAGTTTGCTCAATTACTTACACGCATCTATCACAAACTGTAAAACAAGATCACGTGTAGCCAGTTGCTCCACATTAGAGAGTCTTTTTTTCACCACGGTATTACGGTTTTCTGGACATGGTACTACCGTGTTTTGTTTTAGTTAAAAATGTACCATGGGGATACCATATACAACAAGCATAGGCATTAATAGCTCAAATAAGTATATTATTACTAAAATAATAATTGTATTACTACATAAGCATGCACAACACACACTTTGAAATAGTACAACATCCAGATACCTTTTGCATTGTATTTTTTAACATACTATGATTGTAGGTGCACAAAATCTTTTGCATATCATTTAGGATGGATAGTTTGAAAAATTGGGATGTGGCTTTAAAAGGATATTTGTTCTAAACCCCAAACAAATTGCGCATTCACAACAGCAGCAGCTATGCCGAATCAAGACTAAATGCATCTTTCCAAATGCGTATATTTGATGCGTTTGGAGGACAAGGTACGTCTCAAAGGCACTAGTGTTGCACTTCAAGATCCTCATCAGAATGCACTGACGGTTGGGGTTGTGCTGCCTGAAGTCGTTGGCAGTTTTCCCTGCATCTGCCATAGACGTTCCCACATCAGCACAGAGACGACAGAAGGAAATGACATTCATCAGTCATTTGTGATGTCCCTCACTTCCTTTAAACAACCAGAGCATGTTCTAAACCACCACAAGACCACATCGAAAGCCTGTGGGTGACTTTGGACAGTGCAGTCCAGTTATATGTGAACTGCTGTTTATATTTAATCATGGTTCTGATGCCAGTAGGCCACTTTAATATACATTTTCCTGAGAAGAGTCGGGTCGGATGTCCTCCAACGATCTTGATGGATGTCTCACTCATGTCCTGTATCCCGACACAGTCTGATGCTCATGAACATCCCCTTCATCTTTCATCTCCCTCTTTCTACTTTCCATAATGAAGGTTCAAAATTAATTCTACCTGCTGTTTGAATTCATGAATAGTTCTGAGGTAAGTGAACAGTAAGGCTTGAAATCGGGAGCCACTTAAAATTCAGAACCATTTTTAGTCCATTTTTATCAAGAATACTGCAGCTGAATAATTTCCATGACGTCCAGTTTTGTTAAGAGTTATTCAAAGTCTGCGTTCTTTTGTTGGTGGAAATGGAAAATTATACTAAAATACTGTAAAACTACTTTTCCGCTGTTGAATTTACAGCATCATGGCTAAAGAAATGTATTGTAAGCTTGCAGTCTTGTACATGTCCATTAATGTGGATAAATCCTTAAGAATTATTCTAAACTCCTTCTACTTCTGAAGTTAAACATGAACAATCTACTGACATCCACCTTAAAGCTTAATGAAGTAACAGTGAGACGTTTGTAAAATTATGAATGATATTTATTATACCTTCATAGATAAATAGAACAGCCTATTATCTGCCGACTGCACTATCAGGCAATATGTATGTTTGTAGTAAAAAAAACAAAGGAAAGAATAAGAGTACTAATGAATCTGCTGATTATCATGATAACACTGATAAGAATATTTTATCATTCTTTAACATCACCTTTACATATCGGTGGTCTTGTTTGTGCTTTGATATGAAGTTTGCGACATTAACATACGTCTGCAAGTACAGAATTCAAATAAACAATAAGCTGTTAAAAGCACAGTTCAATTTTCATTAACAGAATCCAAATAAAGACAGAAGAATAACAGTCTCACACGAACAAACACACGTACATAGATGCACACATATACGTACGCACAACTACAATAGTTAGCGTTCGTGACTGGTGTGCCGTACGAGCGATCGGTCTGATCCACCCAGCGATACAAACTCTTTGGTTTGTTACATTCCAGATCCTGGAAAGGCTTTCATCCAGAAACAGACCAGACCAACACCACGCAAATGATGAAACATTCGTCACAAACATTCTTGTTCAGTCACACCTTCATGCACACATAAACAATCATGTATTCGTAATCATGAATATTTTAAGTGTCCAAATATCTTTTGGGGACTTCCCATTCACACATTTCTTGTTAGTCATATATGCTAATTATACAACAGACTAATCCTAAACTTAAAGGGTTAGTTCACCCAAAAATGAAAATTCTGTCATTAATTACTCACCCTCGTGTTGTTCGAAACCCGTAAGACCTTCGTTCATCTTCGGAACACAATTTACGATATTTTTGATGAAATCTGAAGGCTCTCTGACCCCACCATAGACAGCAAGGTAACTACCACGTTCAAGGTCCAGAAAAGTACCAAGATGATCGACAAAGTAGTCCGTGTGACATCAGTGGTTCAACTGTAAAGTTACAAAGCTACGAGAATACTTTTTTGCGCAAAGAAAACAAAAATAACGACTTTACTCCACATTTTCACTTTGGATGTGCGTTCACAACAGTACCGCGCCACCACACGCTCGCGTCATGATACTGTCGTGAACGCGCGTCCACAATTAGAGGCGAAAATGTAGAATAAAGTCATTATTTTTGTTTTCTTTTCTCGTAGCTTCATAACTTTACAGTTGAACCACTGATGTCACACGGACTACTTTGTCGATCATCTTGGTACTTTTCTGGACCTCGAATGTGGTAGTTACCTTGCTGTCTATGGGAGGGTCAGAGAGCCGTCACATTTAATCAAAAATATCTTAAATTGTGTTCCGAAGATGAACGAAGGTCTTACGGGTTTCGAACAACACGAGGGTGAGTAATTAATGACAGAATTTTCATTTTTGGGTGAACTAACCCTTTAAAATAAAACGTTTTGGCATTTTTAGATATGAATTTATACATTGATTAGTTTCTTTTTGAACTGTTGTATCCTTGATGTTCTCTCTAGTTTTGTCAGCTTGCTATTATTCTGGGGTCATTGAGAAATTGTATCCTCACAAGAACAGTAAAACCTGCACACGAAAACAAACTTTACACCATCTTCCAACACTTGTATATAATTGAGGCAAACTTGGCGATAGTAATAATGAAATCTAAATAAAACTAAAAACATGCACAAGACGACCAGCATGCATTTACAAGATGAGACCTTTAACACAATGTCATATGGGACCTCAACCCTCCAGCATCCCAAAACCCCCCTTTTAATGCTTGTAATGGCCACCTTTTTCGGGAAGTTACATTCTCGTGAGATACACTGAGGCTGAATCGATCCAGCAGATGGGACAAATGAGGCTACATACAGTGAATAAGCGCTATATCTACTGACCTACGTAAGCCACTGGTCTTAAGACAGTTTAGAGCCATCACTATGTACACAAAAGGCATCAGGGTCCAGCTGCAGAAAGCTATTTGATGTCCAGGTCACGTAATGTGTAATTTCTTAGACTTCAAGGAGTTTTGTTTTTGAGGCAGTATTTCCTTGAAATGTTCAAAAAACATCAAAAGTTTTCCAAGGAACATTTTAGTGAAAATATACTTTGTTGATCGGTACCATTCCTCTGACGTCTGGATATATCTCAAGACATGGTGGTTTTCTAGTGTGTAGCAGATCCAGAAGGTTGTTCTGTATTGTCCGGTTGTGAATGGGGCCCGTACTGATGTGGTCAGCTTTGGTTGTTCTCTGTCAGGCTCTTACTTTACGCTCAACAGGTGAAGTCTTCGAAGTTGCCCTGGCCAGGATGGTGAGGTAGCATGTTGGCTGGGTAGGTTGACGGGGTACCAAGGTTTTCACAGGGAGCCTGAGAGGAAAGATAGATATTCAGAAACTGCACAGTGTAAACGGAATACTTCCTACAATTAGGCAATAAGTAGCATGTGAAACATTACACAGTATGAAGCAATAACTATTTCAAACATGACCTGATTTTGTACATGTGAATTCAGCGAGTGGCATCCAGTTACCATCTCCAAAAATACAGTTGTGTAGAAATGTCTGAACTTTTGTCAGTTTAATCAAATAATAACTCAAGATGATGCAAAAAAAACACAGCTGATATAACTACTATTTCTGGCAATGGAAGCTGAGCACGTTGCATTGTGGGATACAGCACCTCATGCAGTGTTCTGTGTTGTATAGGCACATAATGTAGTTGGTCTTCTGGTTAAAAAAAACTGCATACTGTCCACAGTAAACATACTGAATACTGCAGACATAGTATGAGTAGTACGACAGTATACTATTCTGGACATAGTCTTTACTGTCTGTAAGTATGAGTTTATCAGCCAACACAGATACTGATCTGATAGTTACTGACGTGACGCTTCACGTCATCCAGGCTGAGAACGGCTCCTCGCTCGTTGTTGCTGCTCCGCTGGTGTTTCTTCTTGGAACAGCGACAGAGTTTGAACTTGATCACCTTTGAAGAGAGAAAACAAACACACAGGTAAAACCTGCTGTTCAGTTCACGCTATGATATCTGCTATGGATGGTCATGTGGAGAGCTTTTTTTTGAAGGTTTTGATCTTATTGGAAATTTTACTTGAACATCTGATATAAATCAGAAAAGCATGAAACAAATGTGATAACAACATCCAATGATAACTGCCGAAAAACATCCATTGTGAGATTAGAATGGCAGAAATGGATGCATGGAACTGAAAACTTGGGGGTTTGTAGATGTAAGACTAGCGAAGTCCTATTTGCATCTTGTTTCCCGAGTAAAGCACACATTCAGAAAATTTCCAGGAACTCAATTTTCTTGTCTCCAAATGCTGCTTTACTAGAGATTGACAGAAACAATATGAAGTAACAGATCTGAACTGGTAACTGGGGCTTTTCCCCCCAGTTCCCATGAGGGCCTCCTGACACACAGAACAACATGATGGATGGATGATGTATTGTTTGTTATTGGCTTTTGGCTGTCATGTACCAGCCAGATTACACAAACACAAGTCCTGGAACTGACAGTATTTGTGTCGCATTTCCTGCAAATGATGCCAGCTTCCACCTGCCATATCTGACAGCCTGTCTTACATCTGTGTTCTAATGTCACAGGCGTTACTCAGAGCCTGCCGTTGAGTCTGAATCAGACTCTAGGGACTTTTCACGTGGAGTGTCAAAATTGGTGCATTGCTAGATTTATTTATATTTTCCACAAGAATGGTTTTGGGTAAAGAACCCCCAAATGAAAGCATTAAAAAAGCATAAAAATGACTTAAATGTCTCAGTTGCTAAATAATATATTCCTCATGCAAAACTGTCATACTGCTTCATAAGACTTGCCCAGAGCCTGGTCACTACTGTTAAGTTCTCCTAAAAGGTCTGTACATACAAATTGAAAATCATGAATCACTATGTAATGTGTGATTTTGGTCAGAATAAAATAAGCATATTGGGTGGATTCATATTTTTTTCTCTCTCTTTCTGATAAAGGCCCCCAAAACATCCCACATTTCTCCATTGGGAATGATGAGATAAATACAATAATTCTGTCAAGAATGCAGAAACTGTTTTCATAAAGCAGTATGAACAGTCTGCTAAACATCTCCTTTAGCATTCTACTGAAAAAAGAACGTCATTCATGTTTGAAACTACATTAAGGTAAGTCAGTTATGACAGATTTTGCATTCTTGGATGAAATATCCCTTTTACATTTCATTATTTGTCTCTTTTATCTTTCAGCAGAAACACCTTGAATGCTTGTGCCTTTGCCTTTGTTTTCCAAAGGCTCATGTGAGTCTGTTGCACAGAGGTGCAAGTCAGCACTTCCTGTAAAAGATCATGTGATCTGTTATCAATCACTGCCATACAGAGATACCCAAGGAGCGCCCGAGAGAACAGACAAGAAAAATAGCTCTCCTGGCACCGCCTCCCTATTTTTAAAGTCATATGTCTTGATGCATTGCAGGATTGGGTGTTTGGCAAAGATTTTGCCGCCAATATAACATTAAGCAGAATCATGAGTATTGTGATGATTTATGACTCACGGCACCAGAGGTATTTTTCTATATCTATATTAATCAACACTGCCATCTAAAATGGCCATATGGTCAAAATACAAAAACATACATTTGTCAATAGGGGGAATAATGCTGCAATACCTTTTACACAACGTCGCCCACCCAAGTGTGTAATACTTTCGCAGATGAGACCAATGGTTATCAGTCATCTTCAACAGAAGATCGGAGGACAATATTCTTAGCAGACGTTGGGTTGATTAAGATGCTAATGACAGAGTGTCTGCATGCACACCAAAATTATTTCTTCATAATGCTCGAAGCACTGCATCTGCCAACAACATTGAGTCCTCGACTTGCTTTGAATAAGATTCTAGTAGTCTGCTTCTGCACTGTTCTGCTTGCCTGCCTGCTGGATTGCCTATCATCATAGCCGATGACAATTTTCCCCAATCAAGAGATAATTCCACCCTTCGCCTTAAGGTATTGATATCTCGAAAGCAATCACATCCTGAGCAAAGGCTTGAAAGCTAATGCTATATTTACACTCCGTTCATTCAGATGCTGAGTGTGGCAAGGGGTCTCAAGTGGAAGAAAGCTTCAATGCTAAGAGAGCACTGCTTTTGTGAAGGTCATATTGAACACAATTATGGGGGAAAGGAGAATATGTGCCATTTTGAGTGACAGAAATTTCCACAGCTATCAAGTTTCAAGGTAATTAGCTCTGAAGGGTCTTTAATACATTGAGAAAAGAGGAAATAACAGGTGCAGGTCTGGATTTGAGTCATGGAGGTCTTACCTCATACAGATAGTCAAAGAGCTCCAGGATGGTTAAGATACTGGCCCCGATGAACAGGCCCATCTGTCCGCCAATGTCACCTGAAACGGTTTAGTTCAGTAATTAGCCACATGAACAAACAAACAAGCTTTTCAACATATCGTGCTTAAATGGATTGTAAAATTACAAGCTGCTGTTTGCTAATTTTTTTAATGTTCTACAACTTTATGGTCTTTATATTCTCAGTTTACAGCCACTATAAGTTAGTTATTGGTAGTTAGACTTTCTGAAAAGTGACAAACTGACGTCTTTTGAGAAAGGTATTTTGTAAACAATTATTATTTTACAGGGTGCCCACAGTGAAAGAAAACCTGGAAATATCAAAGGATAAAATTATTTCAAGGCTTGTGAATTTATCTCTTGACATAGGAAACCGCAGCTCACCAAGAAGGCCGGCTAACTCGTAGGCTTTCTTCTGCTCGATGGTCTCGTAGTTGAGGGCCTCGAAGAAGATGTCCAGCACCAGGATGTTTTCTCTAAAGGGCAGAACAGAAGGGAAAGGTGAGAACACCCCAACTGCATTTACTTCCACAACCCTCCCAATCTTTCACACCATCTTCCAAGCATTGATCCACAATCTGTCAATTTCACAGCATTTCATTCTCTAATCTTCCACTGCTGTAAGCAGATGGGGTTGGAGTCGAGCCAGCAGAGACCTCGGGCCATTTTAGACACAGCTGGAGTAGATTCTGAGTGTATCTGTTACGTTTTTGCACATCAAGTAGTGGCACTTTAGACTTTATATCATATTGATATCATTTACTTTACTTCTTAGAAAAAAATAAGTTTTTATTAAGAACATTCACTGCAGATGGTGAAAGTTTACATTTTTTGATCCCCTCTGAATACATATTAAATGTTTAGTTAAGGTACAGATGACAGCTGCAGTTATTTTATGAGTGTTTGCCCAAGCTCTACAAAGCTACCTAGAAGCCAAAAACACTAAAAAGGTTAGCCTTAATGATTCTTTTGCAGCAGGTTTATCGAAGAATGCTAATGAGGTGCTACTCTAAAGCCAAGTATCTTTCCCCTTTAAAACCCAGACATTACATCACATCATCTGGGTTCAAAACATCAGCATCTCAGCTTTAAATTAATACATAATCCTACTAATATCAAAGACAAGTAGATAATAGCAGATTTATGATTATGTATGATTCATTTCCTAAATTTAAGAAACCATGGCAAGATATCTGATTTTGAGCATTTTCACTGGATAGTCATCAATATTTTTGGGAACAAGCAGAAAACTAAATAGAGGCATTCAGCTGTTGCGTTTAGAAGATTAAATTCTCCCAAGGTCTTCTGTAACTTCTCTTTTCCTGTTCTGAATGTAAAATACTGCAAATAATTTGCAATTGTTCCACTTGACTTCTCTTTTCATTTTCTAAATGCAAAATACTGCAAATAATAGTTCTTCTCCATTTAGATCATGCAAATATAAGAAAATGGTTTCATAAAATTTTGATCAATTTTGGTCACTGTTTTGTGCATTTAGCCTGCCGTAATAATTTCACAAATTAAAGTTTAAGTCAACATGGAACGGCACAACCAATTTCACTGAAGTAATAGTTAACACATCAGCTGAAAAGAAGAGTCATTTTATTTTGATAAATTAGGAACTAAATTTTTTCCTTTAGAATAACATACACCAGTTAATAGTTCATAACAAGCTGACATTAAATATTTACATCTTAGCATGTAAATTTATACCTAAACCAGTATAATTGCCTGTAGAATACACAGCAAACTAAGAGCAGCAACTTTCTTGACCTCCCTCTGTAAACTTAATCAGGATTCGTGTTGTTCCAGATGGCTGCGGATGTGGAGACATTTCCTGACATTTCTTAGCGTGTTTGTCAAAGCAGTGATGTGTTACATGTCTGTCATGCTGTTGTCTGGTCTTTAAGCTGTTCAGATGATTGGCGCTCTGGATCTTGCATGAGGGCAGACAGAGATCACGGTTAATTACTGACGAGGCGCTAAACAGCTGCTAATCTGGACAATTATAAACAACACTTAGGGCATAACAAACAACCATAAATTACACGTTTCTTGAAATTGGCAATTTGTGATTTACTGAAGTTTATGCTTAAAACTAGGGCTGCACGATATATCGTTTCAGCATCAATATTGCGATGTGTGCATCTGTGATCGTCACATCGCAGGATGTGCGATGATTAGTATACTGATCGTTATATTTTTACTGATTGTTTTCTTTGCTCACACACAGACACGATGTCTACACCGGACGCGACAGCTGTACAGAGATACCCATTTTAAATACATTTAGTAGCAGAGCTACTGCACGCGATTTTCAGTGCTGGAAATCCATTTATCCTTTGTTGAAACTTCCACGTCGTCTAGGAGAGCGCAGGTCACGGTTGCTTAGCAACGGCAGACGCCACGAAAGCGCAAGCTCCCGAGCGCTTTGGAAAGAAGGAGAAAGCGGCGCGACTGGCGTTTTCCCGCGCGTTTTTAGGCACGACATGTGAAAGGCCCCAAAGTCTGCCTACACTGGACGCGACAAAGCGACCGTTGCATATCATTTGAACTTTGTGTCAGTACGTCATAAAGAGAACGCGGCATCAGTTTACTGTCGGGGATTTGTCATGTTGCGCCACATCCAGTGTAGTCAGTCACACAGCATCACTGATTATAATGGGTTCATTGTATTTTGTTGCGCCGCGCCGCTTGCGTCCGGTGTAGATGCACGTGAACACTGAATTCTGTTCACTTCTGCGTCTATTTGTGCCTGAAATACTGTGCTCTGCAAGTATCCTTGTAAACGCATTTGCATATGGCTTAGGTGAAGGGAAACAATTGAGAAAGAAAATGG